TGCAATAATATGTTGGGCGAAGTAATTAACTATAACGAGTACATACTGATTTGCATACAGCGTTCATTTAAAAAGATCACTGCTACAGTACATTTCTATAACATATACCTCTATTCTAACTATTCTCTTTTCCTTGATATTTTCATTTCTATTATTTCGTTTCTATTGCCTTTCTTTGTCCTTGATTAACTTTTCTATTTCTTTCTACTTTTGTCCTCGTTTTTCACGTGCGTATATAAACGTTTGTTTTCTCAAAGAATAAACAGAGAGAGAAGGAAACACGTACATCTTTAATTGTGTTCATCGCTCTTCGTGAGCGTGAACCCCAACAGCCACAAAAGTCAATATCGATTAAAACAAAGACAAGCTTGAATGTATTATTGAATGCTGGTCTTCATTCTTGATCAGTAGTAGTGATTTTTAATCTTATAATAAGTACGATCTGTAGAGAAATGTGCTCCAGTCATGGGATCACCATGACAAACACAAAATTAGGATTTAATCATTGATCGTGGTAGATGTATTACTTTTATTTTTCCTTTAGAATTTCATCATAATGTTATTAATTTATAGAGAATATTATCTTTTAAAACAAATTATAGTTTATTTAATTGTGGATAGAGTTGTTTAATTATTATTTGTATGTTAGGATCTCGATCTTGTTCAGTTTTTAATTTAGTTATATCAGAATGATTATATGAAAATTTAGATGATATTTGTGTATTTTGTGAATTATCCTTTATAGATTCATTATCCAGTTCATTATCAATAGTAATATTATCATTCACCACAATGGCAGTGGACAAAGATTTTAGTTTATGTTAACATGGTCTTATAGTCATAGCAGCTAAAATATGCAGATTCTTTTAGATAAATGTTGAAGGAGATTTTGAATTATATGAGTAGGCGTAAATGTTCATGATAAGATATTATCTTTTACTTGGTAATCCATATTCAATATTAAATGGATCATCATTCTGCTCTCGAGAATATCTTGAGAGATAAGCAGGAGGACAACTATTATGACCTTCAATATGGATTACTTTATCTATATTATAGTCTTGAATCAGATGTGTTATGAGATCGACTCTCGCAGTTTTTACTGTTTTCTACATGATATGACATAACGGACAGTGATATGTCGCAATAATGATACTACGTCCTATTACACAAATGATTGTAATCTCAAAAAAAAATTGTATATAGTTAGAGCTTCTTTCTCACTAGCACTATATTTTCTTTCATATGGTGTCATAGGTCGAGAGTGATAATACAAGTTATGTAATTCACCATCAATTTCTTGTTATAGAACTCCTCGAATATCAATTCCACTAGCATTATTAGTTAGCACTAATGGTTGATTTCCAACAGAATAATGAAGAAATAAAAGTTCCATCGTGAGCATCTGCTTTAGTTTTTCTTAAGTGCTTTTGCTTAAGCAGGTCTCTACCGGATATATGACGGTTATTCTTCGCGAAATTTGTAACAACATGTGTTCGAGCGGCGACTGTAGCAAAGTGTGACAAGAATTTCTTATACTCACTTAACTGTTCGATAAAGTTATTTGCCTGAGCAAGTGGACGTGGTTATTCGATTGAAGAATTGCTACTATCTGATCTTTCATTGGCACGATACATTTCTGACTGGTAGTGTGACATAGATAATCAATTTATTAAACACCTAGTTCATATTTAGGTAAATTGAGTACCAGATTCTTAGCTTATAAAGCTGAAAGTACTCGGTCAAAATGATATAGATGTTCAGGAAATGATTGAGAAAAAAGCTATTATATCATCAAGACAAATGAAAGAGAAATGACGACAAGATTGTAATGTATCTATCATCATTTTTGAAATGTAAGAGGAGAGTTTCGGAGACTTATTGATAAGATATTTGTGCCAATATATACGTCACGACTCACTGTTCTTCCCCTTTCCTCTTCCTCTCTCTATTGTTCTCTCGATGTCGTCTCTCTCTTTGTTTCTCTATCATAGATAAGCTTTGTGTTGAATGTGCAATAGACACATTCTGGAGATGTGAAGTAGCTAATAAACATAATTGCCGAGTAGCGGCTAGCTACTCCTCCAGTCTGTCATAACATCTCTTTCTCATATTTATCGTTACAATATTGAACTGATAGAAGCCGAAAGGAGTGATGACAAAAGCTGTTTTCTCCTTGTCACCATCATTAGTAGATATTTGATAACACTATGATTTGAGATTAAGTCTTGAAAAATAATTAAATCCTTGTCTTAATTTTCTGATAGTATCTTCCATATTCGGGAGAGGTATAATCGACTATGAATCGGTAAGAACTATCTCTCTTTTTGACTAGTATCACAGGTGCACCATACGGTGAATGCGATTCTGAACTTAGATCTGCTTGAAAAAACACTTGGATTAATTTATACATTGCTTCTTCTTTATCCAGTTATAAATAAGGTTTAAAGGCAAGTGGTGACTGAAGAATAGTGTTCATAACGTGATGAATATGTGTTTTAGCAATGTTATATTTTTGGTTGTATCAAAAGTACGATGAAAGCGTTTTAATAAAGAATAAAGATTATGTTGTTGTTGTTTATTCTTGACTATATTAACTAACATACTAATATTTTCCTCGACTGTCGGACCAACGAATTGTATTGTATTACAATACGGTTTTCTGTTAGAATATGTCAAGTTATTACAGTTTTGAAAAAATGTGTTACGAAACTTCTGTGATTTATTAGTAACAATTTCATCTGCTTTTAAATCAAGAGGTACTGCTGTCTCACAGGTATAACCAATTGCTCCAAATGGTTTATGCAAAGATAACGCGAAGACTTGAGAATATTGAAATATAAAACGACAAAGTAAATATTCGACACATATGTCTTTTCTAATAAATTGAGAATATAACGACGTGCTGGATAACATAACATTAGAAAATTGTTCAGAAAATTTCCAAGTGTATATGTAGGTGTTATAATTTTACTATGACACTTGACAACATGTATTCTATGAACAGTTTGAATCGTTTTTTTTTCATTTATTCTAGTGATATTAATAATAAATTACGTCAAACTATCTATTGACTATATTTTTTGAGAGAATATATCCAGTATACATATCGCATTCCATATTTCTAACGCATTCTACAATACAAATCTTATTCACTCTACCGATGTTAGCCTTTGTCGATTGACAGTAATCCAGAGAAAGAAGAGTTGAATTTATCATTGGTTCTGGTGAAAAACTCACCGATATAATCTATATTTTAAAGTATGTCACGTTTGAAGGCGACCTTTTTTATTATTCGAGATTTTAAAAACAGCAAGACAGAAAAATAATTTTACAATAAAAAAGAAAAAAAAGAAACAAGCAGGACTTAGAATAATTGTTCGTTTTCATTTTATCTGTTACATACCACAGAAATATGCTATCAATTAATAATATCTTTTAAGCTTCACCTCCTTGTTGAATTGTTGTTGTAGGTAATGCTTTAAGTGGTATTTTTCGACTAACAATTGGTGGTAGAACAGTTGATAGTTTTATTGAAGGTCGAATTGATGTCACTTTGTTTGAATCAACATTTTCTGCATGACTATTAAGCAATTGACGTTGCCGTTTAGTATATGATTGGTCATCATTCGATTCAACACTGCTTGATGACAGTGGTCTGTTTGATGACAGTGGTCTGTTTGATGACCGTGGTCTGTTTGATGACAGTTGTCTTAATTGCTGTGGTGGCGTTGGTGGGCGTCGTTTAACAAATAAACCTTTCATTAAATCTTGATCAGGACTAGCTCGATTATGGAGAGATGATGAACGATTTGATAAGTGTTTAGCTGACAATGGATGTTGTTTTTCTTGTACTTCACTAGTACTTTGAAATTTTGTTGGTTTATTAGGTAAAATAATTTGTCCAAGACGAGCACGATTTTGTAATTGTTGTTGAAGTTGTTTTTCACGATGTAATTGATTAGTAAGTTGTGCAATTAATGTTGAACGTTGTTCAAGTTCAATTTTTAATTGTCGTTGTTTGTCATTTTCTAAACGTAATTCTAGCATATGTTTTCGTTCACTTACAATCAGACGATTTTCATAATCATTAATAGATTTTTCTTTTTCCTCTAAAATTTTATTTAAATCATTGATTGTTTGTTTACATTGACGGATTTCATTTTCTAGTTGTTCAATTGTTGATCGAAGTTGACCTTTAGGAATTTTTAATAAAACAAAATATATGTACAAGTCTAGTTAACACTTACTATCATCTGTAGAATTTACAGTACCACCACCTATTACTAATTGAAAAGTAAGATCTAAATATATATTCGCTTAAATTTAGTCAAGAAAAAACTCTTTAATTTCATATATATGTATACCGCTGCATTTTTGTTGCCATTTGGCAATTTCTTCATGAAGATTAGCCAATGTTGATGCATGTTCACGCTGAATAAATGCGATCGACTTTTCAGCACTTTGAAGTCGTTGAGCTAAAGTATTTGCATCAGACGGAAGATATTCGATATCCGACATTATTCAAATCTAAAAAAATGAACAGAAATTCGGACAAAATTCATAGAGAAGAATAACTTAAGCAACAGATGTTATTATATATTTTAACGTCTGTTAAAACATGTACTCATAGAACAAATCGATTAGTTTCTTTTTTTTATCATGTGCAACACTAATTATAATGTTTTAATATTTAAAGACTATAAAACACACAATATGAAAAAGAACAATAAAGAATTGAAATATAGACAAAGAACAAACAATACATATAAACCATTTTGATGCTTAATGATACATATTTAAAAAAAAGAAGAATATGCATTGACATATTCAACAGAATGAAGAAAGCAACAGATTGCATCACCATCCATCTAACATAATACAAGAGAAATTTTTCTTTTTTTCCTTTTCTTTCTGAAAAGATGAGAAAAAATAACGTGATCTAATATCTGACAAACATTGAACTTGTGATCGAACAAAAAAACAACTCGAGATTATATTTAATCATCACGAGTATTCCAATTACGAATTTTCGGACGAGTACTTCCTCCTCTTCCTCCACCACGAGCTGTTACTGGTGGTTGTTGATTAGACAATCGTGTTGTACGACCTGTTAGCGCTTTTCGTTGAGCATTAACATTAAGTGTTGATGATTCTACAAATTTAAAACTAGTTCGAATGAAAACTAAACGAAGAATACTATTTTACTTGCTATCGAAGGACCCTTTCCAGGTGTATTATCAAGCACTTTCCATAAATCACGAATATTCTCCGAAGCTATTGTTGTTATTGTATTACCACTACTCATTAATGCATCTAAATATATTGATTAATAAGCAAGAAATTGCTTTCATGAATTTACTTTCAGTCTTTTCCGGTGCACTTGTTGGTCTTTGTTGTTGTTGTTGTTGTTGTTGTTGCAATTCATTGGCTACTTGATGTGCTCGTTTTCGATTTTCTAACTCCTGAAAAAAGAAAGTTAGCTATTGATGAAAACATAAAACATTACTTGTTTCGTTAAAGCATATTGAAGTTGTTCAAGTCGTTGAAGTTTATTTTCAAGATTAACATAATCTTTTTTTGGTGAAGTTGGAATATTCGAACGAATATTTGTTGGTATTACATCAGCAATTTGTGGACGTTTTATCATTACTGGTTCATCTATTTGTTAGGTTGTTTTTGAGAAGAAAAAACAAAACTTTGTTTGTAAAAATAATTACCTTCATATCGATTTAATTGTGATCGTAAATTATTACTAATTTCTAATAAACGTTCTTTATCACGAATTAATGTTTGAATGCGATTATTTGCTTGTTCTAGTCGACGTTTTGATTGTTCATTTTCTTGTTTTAAAAGAACTTCTGTAACATTAATACCATCGTCATTTGGTTTAGGTCGTCCTTCTATTAAAATGATGATTGATTAGATATAGAAAAGAAATCAAAAATATTAGACTAACCGGAAGATTTTTTTGTCAATCGTTCAATTTCATCTTGGAGCTGTTGAATAAGAATTTCTTGACCACCATAATTAAAAAGTGGGGTGCGGCCAGCTAATTCTAATTTTGCTTCGCTTAACTAAATTCATGAAGAAATATAAACTATTGTACAAACTAATAATTAATTCAGATATAAAATGCAAGAAACTCAAGCAAAGAGTAGCTGATCTATTTTTTTTTTCACTAAAAAGGACATAAAACCAATAAGATTTGATGAACAATTACAAAATGATTAGATAATCAATACATAATACCATTTGATAGAGTTTCATAGGATATATTTTATTTTCGAACTATTCGATTTTCTTTTTAATTCAATATAAATTGGTTCCTATTTAATTTAAAAGTTTGAAAAGTGAATCAAATTGATGATTGATATATGTTGTATAGGGTTCAGTTTTTAGAACTAAGCTTTCGCTAAGTATCAAAGTAATTATGAATGGATTGAAGTTTATCATAAAATATATCGATTAAAAATCAACGGAAAAGAAAACATAACAAGAGAAGATATTCGTAAACTTAAATAAATCGACGACTGAGAAATTTAAATAGCTTTTACATTCTCTTCGAAAACGTTATATTCAAAGAGGAAATCTCAAGACAAAAAAAGTATCGAAATCAAGTTTTCGAAACAATTAAATCTTAATTACATTTTGTTTTGAAATTTTATAAACAGTTTCATGTTCTAGATAGTAAATAAAGGGGGGTGGGCTGAAAATTTCTAGACCAAATATTTGACTATTTTTCGCGTATTTAAATGCACTGGAAATGATTGAGAAGTAAAGTCCTAGAACCAAAATTTTGTGCTCTTTCAGAATATATGTTTAGAATTTGTCTTTGAGTTTCGATTATTAACCTATAAGTAAATCTTGACAAGATTTTTAAAAATTTATGGATCTCATTTTTCTGAAGACAAGTCTGCTTCTTGCACGCATCAAATAACTTCTGTAAATATATGGCACTTGAGAATGATCTCTATTGTGCAAAATGACGCTAAAATGGAGGGTTTTAGTTAATCTGCTTAAAAAAGGCAGAGTTGTGACGCGCGGTAGTTTTGCACTAAAAAAGAAAAAATAAAAAAAATAGCCATTTTTTCATGCGATAGATTTTATAAAAACCTTTACTGCACCTCAAAAATTTGCAAAAAAAAATTATTCAAATATATCGTTTTGTAGAGAATTATTTTCTGTGTCTTCCAATATATTCGATAAAATTTTGTGTCATATTTGAAACAAGTTCCATTTAAAGTTTTTCTCTCCAAAACAAAACTTTTTGAGTCTTTTCAAGTTTCATTTATAACTCAATAGTCAAAAGTCACAGAAAAATTCTAACGAGAGAATTTCTCCAACTGACACCCACCATTTGAGCTTATATTGGACTCCCAGATAAATTTCAGTGGGACTAGCAAAAGTCAAAAAGGGTTTGTCCACATAGGTCTTTATCGCTGAGTTATGATTAGTTTAGTAAATTTATCGAGCCATTGGAAGATAAGTTCCAAAATATCAAATGACAGAATTTCGATCTAAAATTGTGCCTATATATAGGTCTAAGCACTCTTAGAATATCTTGAAAGTTTCAGCCGAAAAGAATGTTTCTCCATCAAGATATTGAATTTTCAACAACAATCTTTTACCGCACACATGTAACACAAATTGAGTTCACTTGACAACTCAAGAAATTCAACGAACGAACATTCTTTTCGGTTGAAACTTTTAGAATATTCTAAGAGTCATTAGACTTATCCATAGGCAAAATTTTGTATCAAAACTCCAATATTTGGGCTTCCGAAAAGTACCTAAAAGTGAGTCAAAAATTCAATAAATCTATCATAACTGTGCGCAAAAGCCAATAGAGATGAATCCTTTTAGACTTTTGTTGTTCTTGCTGAGACCTATCTGTGAGTCCAATATGCGCTCAAACGGTGGATGGCATTTGAAGTAGTTACCTCATAAGAATGTATTTTGAATGAATACAAAATTTTGATTCTAATACACTACTTCTTAGTCTTTTCTAATGCCTTTAAATACGCGAAAAATAGTCAAATATTTTATCTAGAAACTTTCGGTTCACTCGTTCTATGCTAATCATCTAATTATTGATTGACTTTCATCGAGTCTCATCGATTATATATCTTCAAGTTTTTGCTTTAAGTTCTATGTTCGTATCATCCAATAAAATTATTTAATCGATGTTTAACTTTCAAAATGAACTCTATTTTCGAAAAAAAATCTTCTAACATGCCTTTCGTTCCAGTTCAGCAACATCAGCATTTCGTTCAATAATTGATTTTTGATATTCGTCTGCTTCACGTCTTGTTTCTAATAGAAGTACTTCAAGATCACTCATTTTTTGTTTCATACTAGTCAATTCAGTTTGATGACGACGATCATCAGCATTTGATTGATATGTTAATTGATCAATACGTGATTGTCTTTGTCGAAGCTTAATAACAAAACAAAATTGTATATAAAATTTCACATTTTACAGTAAATGAAATTACTTCTCGTTGAAAATTATCATGATTTTTTTCTATTTGAATTAAACGACCTTCTAATTTTCGCACTTGAGATACAAGTTGCATTTTTTCCGTACGTAGAGTTGCTTAAGAAAACAATATTTTTTCTTTCTAATTTAAAACATAAAACAAGAACTTCTTTTTACCGATGGTGTTATTCAATGATTGTACATAACTATTTAATTGTGGATTTTTTTTAAGTTCATTATTAACAGCTGTATGATCAATATCAAGATTTGAATGACGTGAATCAAGTCGAGATATTAAATCACGATTTTGCTGACGTAATGTTTGATTTTCATTTTGTAATTCAACAATTAAATTTGATTGTCCTGATGTTGTTTGACCAGGTAAATCATTTACAAGTGCTTCCATTTGTTGTCGCATTTGTGAAATAACTGAACGAAGATTTTCATTTTCACGTTGTAAGACAACTAAAGCATCAGCATCTCCACCATTCTATTTCAAAATAGAATTCTATCAAAAATATAAAAAAACAAAAATGTCTTACTGATTTATATTGATTTGTATAAGCTTTAAGTAAATCATCTTTAAAGCTAATATCATTTTCTAATTTTTTTACTTGTGCAATAGCCTGTTGCGGAAAAAGGAGTTTTATTAGTTCTAACGAAAAAAAAAAAGTTTAAGAACCTGTTCATGAGCACTAGATAATTTTTCAATAAGATCTTCAGATTTATGATATTCTTGTCTTTGATTTTGATTAAGTTTTTTTTGCCAATCAATATCTAATTGTGCTTTTGCTTCTTCTAATGCACGTTCACGATCTAAAGCATCTTCAAGTTCTTTTTTATATCTATATAAATAATTAATTCTCATAAGTAAAATTGATTTTTTTTCCGATGAAAAATATTTCATACCGATTAATATGATTGTCTTTAATTTTAAGTTCAGCTTTTAATGTATCACATTCATCTTGTAAAGCATGATGTTCAATATTTTCGTTGGCATGTTCTTTACTTATTTGTGTTAATTGATGATTCCATTGTTTTTTTATTTGATTTATTTCATCTTGTAATCTATAGAAAAGAAAAGAAAAACTGAAACACTTTACAATTTTTTCAATTAATTTTAAAAAGATGTTCTATATAACTGAAAAATTAGTTATGATACTTTTTACATACTACAAACGACAAAATGTTTGCGAATCGTATTTTTGATAGACAATTCCATAGATAGTCAACTGCAAAAAACACAAGATTCTTAGAAATGTTTTTCATCTATAAAACTTTGTAGAGCTTGTTACGCTGATCATTTTGGTAAAAAATATTCAAATTTACTCAAAAAGATAATAATGCTAGGGTCAAAATGCTCGAAAGAGTCAAATACCGCTAAGCAGCAGACTAGAATAGCCAACGTGTTTGAGTATTTTGGTCCTATCACCATGATTTATCGAGTCAATTTGAATATTTTTTTTTTACCAAAATGATCAGCACAGCGAACTAGACAAGTTCTACAGACGAAAAAATCTTCCGAGAACCTTGTGTTTTTTTTCAGTTGATTGCCCATGGAAATATCTATCAAAAATACGATTTACAAACATTTTGTCGTTGGTAAATAACATCCTAGGTAGTATATAATTGACATACGTAGATAAGGAAGCATCTTTTTCTCGGATGATATGTTCGTATTCACGTTGTTTTTCATTTTGTTGTTGTCGTAATTGAAAACATTGATCATTTGAACTTTGCCATTTATCTTCAAGTTCTTGATAACTTTGTTTTAACTGTTCTATTTTAACATCTTTTTCACGTATTAATCGATCACGTTCACTGTATCTAATCAAGATAATAGATTAAAATAATTCTTTTATTCTGTTTTATAAGTGTGTTTTATAACTAAAAGAATGACAAAACGATAGATGAAACTAGTAATTATATACAGAAAGAAAAAAACAACTACTTCTGTTAGATAACTATCGATAAGAATCATACATCAATTGATAAGAGAAGTCATAAATTGTAGAAACAAAAAATTCAATCATTAGTATATAATCTAGGAAGATTATTGAGTCAGGAATTCGATAAAGGTTTAATCATACATCTTTATTAGGAAACTTAATGATATTAAAATTCATGTAGTTGTAGTTTTTGAGAAAACATGCTAGCTGTTTTTCAGAGATATGTTTTACTGAATATTAGAATATGAGAACAAACTCTAAATAAACAGACTCGATTTATTTCAAGCTCTGTTTGATACAAAAAATTAACATGTGGATCAGTTTCATCCTCTCTTCTTCATTCAATGATGAAATACAGGATGTTTCAAAAGTAGTGTCCTACGGGAACGATTTTAAAAATGGACACTCTCAAAAATCATTTTGTTTTGTTTTGATTTATGTATATACTCTTCGAACTTTGTTCTAAAACAAAGGGTCGAAGTCAATATGATGCTACATGGTTGGGAAATAGACTTTGATATTCCTCGAAAGACTTTCGCATCGTTTATTAATTAAAAAAGACATAAAAAATATCTATCAACAAAAATTAGACAAGATCATTCATTATTCATTAGACTGTAATTCAAATTATAACAGCTACTATTTTCTTTATGATTATCACCTGCGAAAGAAATACTTTTCAGGTTATCTTGCTATATAGCATTATTATTATCTTCTCCTGTTGAATTTTGAAGAAAATAATTCTCTTAACTTAATATTGATAAATTTTGACGTATAAAAAATAATTGATTTATTTTGATAAAATACATCTTCCACGATAATTTTGTGTTTAATTGAAG